CACACACACACACACACAGCCTCTCGACAACATGCGTTTTTGCTGGCTGTAGCAGCGCTATAGCGCAAAGCGCCGTTTTTATGCGTTTTTGCTCTGCACTATCAATCCGAAAGCAGTTCGGCAATCGTTAGCAGCGGCAGATCAACATTAGCATATGACTCTGCCATTTTAAATTATTACTCCAATGCTTTTTGTTGCATTTCACTTTAATTATATCTCAATGGCATGGTTATCGACTACATCACTGAAAATCGTTCCGGATGTGAATCACTGGAGAACTTTCAACTATTTCAAATATCAGCTACGCTTGCGCTTTATATAATGATGCATTTTTCGCCCAATAATGACTGAGTTCTTTTTAAGACAGACCAAGAAAATTGCAGCATGCTGCTCGGAAAAAATTCTCAGAATTTAAAACCAAGATTTCGCAACAAAAATATCCCAAATTACTTCTATGAAATTTTTCACTACGCAATTCTTGCTAAAAAGTGGCAGAATTCAATACATTAGATGTTGAAGTAATGGAAATGTTTGGCCGTCTGTAGATGAAGCAGGTAAAGAATTCGATTTGCTTCAGACTTACATTACTTAAAGGAGACTTTATTCTCAACACTGAATGATTTTATTCTTTCAAGCTACCACTGGCCTGAAAAATCAGAAACATGGAAAAAGATGAATGCAGATGTGAACCTCATTAACATCAAGTCCAATTTGTTTTGCAGCATGATACATCATTGTCTCACAAGCAAACATAGCCTGCGGTGCTCCAAAGCCACGAAATGCCGTATTCGATGCCAGATTTGTTTTACATAACCGTCCGTATACATCAGCGTATGGAAATTTATAGCAGTTGTCGCAGTGTGTGATCGCACGATCTGCAATCCAAAATTACTCAGATTTTTTTCGCAGAAATCGCTCTAAATTCATCAGCACACAATACTGAAATGGGGTTTATGTGGTACATTCAGTCTGCAGGGTTCTTATATTGTGCATCACGCCTTAGTTAGCCTGAATTTAGCACATACACCTGAGATTTTCGAGATCAAAAAGCCTCCTCAATCTGTGCAACATTTTCGTCGTTTAATAACTTAGTGAGAATATATAAATTATGCACAAGCTATACGCGTATTTATTTGTATTAATTCTCTTTACCATGAGATCAAAAGTAAACTCAGGCTGGAAAGCACCAGGCTAGCCGGGCGATCATGCGTTTTTGTAGTTTCCTGCAAATGTTTAGCGCTGTGCTGATACGATCTGTGCCCGCATTGGCTTTACTGAGTGTCTTTCGCGCAGATAATCCACTGGAAACAGCGAAGTGTTCCTTTGGTGAAATATAGATGTACACAGATACTTTATGCTCCTACAGTCATTTATAATTGGGAATATTCACTTAGAAACGTAACTTTCCATTCCGTCTGGATAAAGAGGTACAAAGATGCCAGCAGTTTTGGAGCCTGAATTTTGCTGTATCAATATGCGGGACATAGACGTTAGTGGAAGGTGATTCGTGCGCTCGGTGCCATATGGGATATATTAACATTATCGAAAAATTACATCCCTCTTGCATGACTATTTAGAGAAAAAGGAATAGAGGGAGAGAGATAGTGACGATGATGATAGTATAGCAAATCGAACACGTCTGTGTGCAGGACATATGCGTAGCCGGAAACTCATTTCAGAGCGAAGCGGCATGTAAACAGCGAATATATTCAGCAAAGCATTGCTTTCTGCTCGGTCCGGGTACCAAGTTACTTGGGTGTCAACGGTGTCTGAAACTAACAACTCACGGCGCACGCGACAGCTGGGCATGATCCAGTAATTAAACTGTAATATTTTGGTCGTACATGGACATAGAATATCCTCGTATAGTCTAAGTTTCCTAGCATGCTCGGTTAGCGAAATCGCTTCCTGTTACTTGGAATATTTGGTGCCTCGGAATTCGCGGCCCAGACGTATGCCAAACCTCATTTTAAGTCTGCTTGTAGAATTATGGGAAATGAATGTTATAGTGAAGTTTGAACGTTCTAGTTTAACCTAGTTCTAGAATTGACGTTTTGCCAGCGACAACTTTGACGTGTCCGTACAGGAAGACTATATGTCTTTTAAAGCTAAATTTGAAATCACTAGCTCATACACGCACAGAGAATATCTCTGCAAAGTTTCAACTCTCTATCTTGTCTGGTTCCCGACATCACTTCCCCACCAAAAAATTAGCAATTTTTTGAGGCATCCGTACTCGGCACCCAGGCTTACGCGGGTGATGATATTAGAAGGGGAGGGCAGCACATGGTATGGGCACATGCTCCCAAAGTTTTAGACTTCTAGCTTTTCTGGTTCTCGAGCTGAAAGTGGGTAACAACAAGTGCGAACACACAGACACATACATACAACCTCTTTTAAATATGCATTTTTTACATTTGCACACATTTAAACGCATAAAAACATTTGCATACATGCAGAACGCATGAGAACTCCAAATGCATAATTTCTGTGTGTAACTCCGACAAATTATGTGCGTCGCATGCATTACAAGCGTTCGACCTTCTTTGCTGATTGTCCGGCCGATTCTGGTCATACAAAAGCTTTTCGAAAAATCCGAATAAAATGCAGTAGTTGTTAGAATCAGATCCAGAGCGGATTAAGTCTTGCGGGGACACTTACCGGGCCAAAGTTTCTGCGGGACATAAATCTCTGCTTATTGAACTAACACATTTATGTTGATATCAAGACAGGAAAAGTGGAGTAAAAAAGAGGTAAAGGCAAACGCATGACGCCGATGGAAAGGTCCAGAGAATGGCCAGCATTGCTATAAAACATCATTTCAAGTTTTCGCAATTTGCCATCGTTGTCGATTCCGCATTTGTAATCACATCGAAACGGATGTCTTGTTCCGGACATAGCCATATCATCGAAACGCTCCATCGTTATTTTCACTGGGCGGTGCAACTTCACAGCAGCGATGGCTGCAGGTACCACGAACAAGCAGCTACTGCTTTCTTTGCCACCAAAACCACCACCGATCCGTTTAGTCCGGACTGTCACTTTATGTTGTGCCAAGCCCAGTGCTTGTGCTACTGACTCCTTCAACAATCTCTTTTCACTGTAAAGTGTTCCAACAATAAACAGGGAGCAACACTGTGAAACAGACGGAATGCTTAGGAAGAACGTCCTATAAAAAACCACAGCCATCCTATGATTAGGACTTGGCCGCAAAAACGGCCAAACTTGCTTCATACAGTTCAGTTCGCTAGGCCAATAAAGATTCAGTTTGCGCAAGAATGGAAAAGCACCTAATCAAAATGCATCGAAATTTTGGAATAAAAGCTTGGCTGCAAAAAGGAGCAAAGTAGATTTCATTAGACAGTTTCAGTCGCAAGATCGTCAGAATTGTGGGGTGACTATCTTTAATTTGTATTATTACTTATGTCAAAATGCCACGGCAGAGTTGAAGTAGACGAGAAAAAGAAAGCAAGGCTGAATGGGTGAAATGCTAAAAAAAATGATGAGGTAAGTTCAGTCAAATAAGTTGTGAAAGTTTCCGCTTGGCACCGCAGTTGGACCTCGTCAGCATGCCCGTTGAAGTACAAATTTAGGAGCAGGGAGGCGCAGTATAAAAGAGCAAAGGCCGGGGAAGGAGAAAGCTAAACAGTATATAAGAATTACTTGTACGTCAGTGACGGACTGTGTTGAAGCGATCACCTCCAGCTCATCCGTTTCACCGGGTATAACAATGAAGCTGTTAGTTTCCATATAGAAATGCTCTTGGCCGCCGATTTTCACGGACCCCTTAACAATGTTCTTCATGGTGGACCAGTCCGGTGCTGCAGGCTGATCCAGACATCCGCTCATAAAGCTATGCATCGCCATTGGTTTTTCCGCAAAATATGACGAGCTGGCAATCGCATCCTAAATGCAGTTAACGTATTTTCCTCGGCAAGAAAGTATTGCCCGAGTAAGTCGCCTGGCTAATTTCAAAATATTCGATGAAAATGCAACTGTGCGAAGCAAGATTCGAGTCTGCCAAACGCAATGATGGAGGAAAATTCAAACAAAACAGCTGGTAAGATAGCGAACCTCGATCGTAACGATAGGCTTTTGCGGGGTACAATGAATTTTGACGCAGTGGGCCGCTCGTCGGGCTGTCTCATGATCCTGCGCTATCACTGCACCGACTGGTTGTCCGTGATAAGATATCTGAACAGCCATCACGCAAAAGAAACCTCAACAATGCCCATCAGGAGATGTTCAGTTACGCTGGATGTTTAGGATAAATTTAACCACATGGAGAGGAGAATTTGCAAATCGGCATGAACACAATTTTTTCAAATTAATTCTACGGATATGGAACTGCTAAATGCTTGTGTGTTGGTTTGCTTATGTGTGTTGTGTATGGGTTTGTGCGTGTATGTGTTCATTTGAGTATGTGTGTTTGTGCTTGAATGTGTGTATGTGTAAAAAAGCCGTCGCTGACAATAAGCATACCTCTCCATTGGCAAATATAGGCGTGTCTTGGGCATGTCCTAGGGCTGCTCCAGGCCTGACATCTTTGTGATCGATGTAGGCAACGACTCCAGGCAATTTCATAGCAGCGCTGATTTCGACATCTTCAACGACGCCTCTGGCTATCGGAGCGAGTACCATCACCATACTTAGCGTATCTGTTATCAGTAACAAGTAAGGTAAGTGCACTGAATGCGTATTTGCGTAATCAAAAACCAGATGTGCGCGGTAGTTAAATTTGAAATCTTTTGCTCACACATGCTAAGTTTCAGCTTTCTGTCTTGTCTGGTTCACGAAATTGTTTCCAGCCAGTGCAATTTGCACATTTCTTTCTGGAGCCCACATGCGAGATCTAGTCGCTTATGAGCGACAATTTTTACCCGAGCTGGAACGCGCCAGGCTGGCCCTTGCGATCATGCATTCTTGCACCGAACTTGAAGCAATCAGGTCATTAACTGCATGAGTGTTTATTGCTTTACACCTACCTTTTGTGGTCACTAACATAAACCACCATAAATTTTGCATAAAGCAAATGTACAATTTTCATTTAACGACCGTTCTTTAAAAGTAACCTGGTTGCTCAGTCAAAAATTCAGCCAAAATTTTAAGTGCTCGTATGTAAGAACCACACATAACTCAAAGCTGAATTTGAAATACTTAAGTTGGACAGGAAAAATTCCCCCAAAATTTCAGCTTTCCAGCTTTTCTGGCTACAAAAGAATTATTAATTTTCCCGCAGAAACTTTCATACGCCCTTACGTGAGCAGAACGCACAGCTGGGAGCTGAATTTGAAACATTTGAGTTGCACTTGGATAAGGAACATTCCCTCAAAATTTCAGCTTTCTAGCTCCTGGTTCCCAAGCTAGAGATCTTCCCGCTAAAACTTTCTACGCCGTTACGTGAACACCACGCATAACTGGAGATTGAGTTTAAAATCTTTAGCTAGCATATGCACAGGGAATATCTCTACAAAGTTTCAGCCCCTTAGCTCGTGTGGTTCCCGAAATCGCTTTCCCGCCAAAAAATTTGCAT